AGGGATTATATGGGGATTATGGGGGCCCTTATTAGGGATTGTATAGGGATAATATTGATAAATACCTATGATTGGGGCTTAGAGGGATTGTATAGGGGTTACGTAGGGTTGATAATATAGGGTTTAGGGATTTAGGGTTTAGGGTGTAAAGTAGAATTTAGGGCTTAGGGCTTATGATTTAGGAGGGTTCAGGGCTTAGGGCTTGGGGCTTCCGGGTTTCAGGGTTTGGGGTTTCGGGCTTCGGAGTTTAAGGTTTCTGTATGGGACCTTTAGGAGTTTAGGGCGAAAGACTTTGGGCTAAAGGCTTTTAGGTTGGGTCCTGCCCCCACCCATTAACAGTATGTACCAGGGATAATATTAAGGACTCCATATAATTATATTAGGAAAATTATCTGCTGTTACTGAGAGGGGACAGCAGCCGCCAACTTTTAGGGATTTAGGGTTTCAGCTTTGAGGGGTCGAGGATTTAGGGTACACAGGATTTGGGGGCTTTAGGGTTTCAGGTTAGGAGCTTAGGTTTTGGGGTTGACTGCTTAGGAATGGTTTTGCATTAGTCTACCGGAACTTTCTTTGGAACTATACAAGATATTCCCATACTCCCTACTAACCCTAACCCCGAAACCCTACATGGCAGTTTCCATGTTCTTTGCCATTATCCCCAACTAACCCTATATTCTACCCTTATATGATCCCAATAGAAGATATTCCAATATTCCCTACTAAGCACCAGTAAGTTCGATCTTTGCATCTGTCGGGGAATAACTTCAGACGTGTGCGTTCAAGGAAATTGGTTCTGCTCAGCAATGTTATGCGCAAGGGGCACAGAAACCTCGAGGCTTAGGATTTAGGGTTTAGGGTTTAGGGGTTAGGGTTTAGGGTTTAGGATTTAGGGTTTAGGGGAACTCCCCGCAAAAGGCCACATCCCCAAAAACATATATCGGCATGAAGTGGGTTCAGAGGGGTCAAATGCGTGCCCTCAAATGGCACGTGTGAAACTTCATACCTCGTCTCAGCTGCAGACCACAGTATGCTTGAGCTGGTGCAAAACGCACTTCCCATGGCTCTTGCCATTCAATCTGCACAAAGATGTTGTAATCTGTCCATCCTGAGTCAGATACATGCAGCTTGACATCGTGCCTTGCAACCGTCCCCAATTTGCAAAATGCTTGACGACCGGTATCAGTGCACGTACAGTACGGCTGGCAGTGTCATTGAAGCCTATTGAAGCTAAGAAATGCACAAACCGGAAAGGGTCCCGGGTCACTGGGGTTTAGGGTGGAAGGCGGTGTGGAACCCCAAGATTCAGCATGAAAGCATTTTGGGGTATGTAAAGGGGAACCCCGATTGGCACTAACACCAATTTATTGACGCCTCCGCCTGACCAATGCACTGTCCGCACAGATTATGGTTTCATGTGGCACTCTTGCAAAGAATTGCCCTTGGGTCCCCTAAACCCTAAAGCCTAGACCCTATTCAGGATTATGTGTGTTGGGGAGGAAGTTGCGTTGAACAACAACAACTTCACAAATTTGACCATGTTTCTTTGCTGGCGGAAGGAGTGAAAATACCCAACTAGGGTTTAGGGTTTAGGGGACCCAAAAAAAAGACAAACATCATGCAGGTGCAAAACACACAAGATATGGGGGCATGCCTGCCATTTGTAGGACTGCGCAAACCGAGGATATACAATATTGGATTCCACATGGGCCCCCACTCCAATTAGAACCCTGAACGTTGAATCATCCCACATTCCATGACATTATCCATTTGCTTCTTCATCATTCTAGCCCTAAACCCTGAAGCGTGTAGTAGCTTCCATTCCAATTTCTGTTCTTTTTTCCGTTTGAATCTCCATCATTGAGATACTATCCCACATTTCTGGAGACTACTACATAAGCAGTATACCACCCTAGATAACCCACGCAAAGGGGCCCCCTCCCGCTTAGTGAAACCCTGCATAATTTGTTGATGTCGCTGTCCACAGGCAACCGACACATGGGAAACTTGCTGACATGAACCTTAAGGGAAGCCTCAGGGATCATTTTAGGGTTTAGGGTTTAGGCTAGGGTTTAGGGTTTAGGGTTTAGGGAATCGTATAGGGATTTACAGGGCCCACCTCAAGGGTCAATAACAAAGCATAATTGAGAAAATCCAACATGGCTTCTGGACTACATGCTCGTTGGCTTGGTATGGCATGACGTACAGCAAGAAAACAACAGGGAGTCAAAGGGGGAGCTGCTTCCATGATATGTGGGATGGTGAACATTACGGCATATCGCTTGATTTTCTCCTCCTGCTAATGCACATTTCAACAGGAGACCCCGAGGGGAGTACGCGCCAATCAACAAATGCAATAGCGATGACCGCCACTCTGATACAGTGAAACTTCAGTCTCAGAGACAAGAAAGAGAACGCAATTCTCCATGTATCTCGCAATGAATTGATACAAAGCCCTGGTGCTCCGGCTTGTGACAGAACACTCGTCGGCTCATCAACAACAAGCCCCATGTTGTAGGTTCTCAAAATATGGTCCCTCTTGGGGTCCGCATTATAGTACAGCCCCGAATATTGAGGGTAGCCAAAAAAATAATAATTTGAACCAACCGCTTATGATTTTCTCAGTGAAACCTGAAGCACAACCCAAAAGCCCTAAGACACAAGACCCTTTGGCACAATGCATGATGTTCTCAAGGATGGCTAGTTCCATAATTTAACGTGAAACCTGTGAAGACCTTTGCGGATTCGGATGTCAAAAACAGGTTGGGTGTGACCCGACAGCACAAGATTTGTATAGCTGAGCCTTTGAATTTTACTACATCCTTGAAGCCACGTGGTCGCTTTTTCGCTGGAAGTGCTTCCCCTTCCTCCGGCGGACTTCCCTTGTCCTTCCCGCGGCTCAGCCGCCTGCAGCGTACGGTTTACAACCGGCATTGTCGAGCACAGGGCGTAAAGGACGAAATTAAACATGCACATGTAGCAATTGATCTACAACCGGCACATCAAAACAGCCATGCGAACCACTTAGAACAGCCGCACGTCAAGCAGAACCTCCAAAGGACCTTGTAATGAACCATTCGGGGATTTCCGAAAATTTGGAAAACCTTTTGGGTGGTTCCTCTAATAAGGATTACATATAGCCTTTGGGGGTCTATATTGGAGTCCCCCCATTTAGGTAAGCTACCATTTAGTGCACCAGAGAATCATTGCGGAGCAAATCGTACTGGCTTTCGGTTCTTGCGAGACATAATGTGACATGTCTAACATACCACATGACGTTTTGTAGTTGCTCTCACTACATTCACTCGTTCCATTATACTAATGCTCTGAAAAATGTAGCTCAGGTGGGCCAGGCTACCGCCACAACACAAAACATCTTCTCAAAGCTATCCAGTACCACTATGGGCTATTAGACCTTAAGGGTACTTTAATCTGCCCTTAATAGGGTCCTATAGGGAAATTTAAGGTCTAATAACCCATTGTGGTACCTAGCTTAAGACCCCGCGCAGGCATGAGCGACAAGCTGGTAATTTCCCAAAACAAGGGGACCCCAATATAGACCCTAATATATTATAGTCCTTATTGTGGGGACCCCCAAAAAAAGGTACCCCTAATCTTGGGAAACCATCATTCACAGGGACCCTAGAAACCCTAAACCCTGAACCCCCTAATTTTGGGAAACCCCTAGCTTTCTTTTCGATCACCGCCGCATTCTGCGCGCAGGGTCGCCGCGGAGTTGACGAAGGTCACGCCGCCGGCATCCTCGGAATTTACACTTTTACTGGATTGCTTAAGGTTTAGGGTTTAGGGCCTAAGGTTTAGGGTTTAGGGTTTGGGGTTTGGGGTTTTATTGGGGTATATATGGGCTTAATATTGGGGTTATATAGGGGTTATGTTGGTATAATGGAAAATAGAATGGAAACTACTATTTAGGGTTTGGGGTTTACTGGGTTGCTGTTAAGGAACTTGATTTAAGTCACTATATTGGGGAAACCATATTAATTACTGTACATACCCATTATCCCATTATGGTAACTTAATCTAAGTTCCTGAACAGCAACCCAGTTTGGGGCCGACATTGGGGTTTAGAGGGTTCAGGGTTTGGGCTTGAGGTTCAGGGCTTAGGTTTCAGGATTTGAGGTTGCAGGTGAGGATCGACGATTGAAGCTCTGGGGGCTAGGCTTCAAGGTTTTGAGTTGGGATGTGACATTATGCAGGGGGGTCCCCGTTTAAAGTTCTACAGGGAATGCATTGAACTCCCGTAACATTGGGACTGCATCAAATCATGGAGATGTGTGTAGTCTAAACGAGACGCGCAGCAGCTACGCTTGCTGTCCGATCGAATCTGGTTTTAAGATTTAGGATTGAGGATTTCTGGCTAGAGCGTAGGGTTTAGTTTAGCTTCGTGCTTGGCAAGATGGCAAATGCGCAAAAGAAGCCCATCATGATTGCTTTCCTATTGAAATGGTAGTTTCCCGAAATAAGGGAACCCCAATATAGACCCCAAAATACCATAGTCCTTAATATAGAGACTCCCAAAATGGCAACCCTACTTTTGGTAAACCCCCCAAAACTCTACTGCTATCTATACGTGTTGTTTAACGCTTACATAACCATAACCCTCATGGCACCCCATACAACCCCATATAACACCTTACAGCCCTATATTCTAGAAAACCGCTAAATCCCCTTTGCCAGATGAGCCATGGTCAACACTCCTAGTATCCTGTTTAATGACGCTCCCCTATTTAATCCCCTATATAACCCCCCTTTAAGGAGTTTAGACCCTAAACCATAAACCCCAAACCCTAAACCCTAAACCCCCTTTAAGCAGTTTAGACTATAGCTCAGATAGACCCAGCATCGGCTTTTTCTCGTGGCGGACCACCTTCGGCCCATCGGGCCTTGCCGCTAAGGGGGTGCGACCCTTAGGGTTTAGGGTTTGGGGTTTAGTGTTTGGGGTTTAGGGTTTAGGGTTTAGGGTTCTGGAATTAAGGTTTAGGGTTTAGGGTCTAGGAGCCCAAAAGAAGCCTCTCCAAGAAGCTATAGGGTGCATATAAAGGCTGTATAGGGAGTATATGTAAGGACACATGGGGCATCTCTACTCCGTCAAACTAACATTGACCCCAAACAGACTACTGTAGAGAGACAAGTGTCCTTTGAAGAAAAGGAAGGCAAGAATGGGCTTCGATTTTTGTTGTCGGGATAAGTTCTGGTCTAGAGCTCTATGGAGGTTCAGGAGTGGGAGTTAGGGTTTGGGCTGTGGGGTTGATGGTTTAGGGTTTAGGGTTTGGAGGTTCAGAACTTGGAGTTGCAGGCTTGCGTCCAGACTATGGCCTTGGGCTTACGGGATGTTTCAGGACTGATATACTGCATTTGCAGAAGAGCTATGCGGAATTTTTCTCCGTAGATATTCTTTTCGGCTTCTAGTCACGGGGCCATTTCTGGCTTAGGGGGTCTACGGGCACCCTGTATATGGACCCCGACCCGACACATTCAGGCCTTATTAGGTCGCAATACCAAGTGTCGGAATGCAAAGGGTAGATAGGGGGATTGCAGGAGTCTGCCTGGGCTATTACATGAAGGAGATTTAAAAGCTAACGTTTACACGAAGCAGCGCCGATTTTTTGGAACTCGAACTGCAATATAACCCTAATATTACCCCTGAACCCTAAACCCTATATAGCCCCAATGTAGTATAGTAGTCACATATAACCATAATATTACGCCAATGTGCACCCTGTCCGTGGCCTCGCGGGATTGTATGTGCAAGATGCAGCTGTCAGGATTAAAGGCGACATCTTGCAGTGCAGCACCATGTCTTCCCTACACCCTAAACCCTAATACAGACCCGTGATGAACAAACTCCCACCTTTCAGGGCCTTAATATTAGGATCCCGATTATATTCCCCATTAAGGGGAAGGGGTTTATTACTTAAGGGTCTACAGTAATCCAGAGTCAGTTGTTAGATGTCAGAAGGACAGATCAGATAGATCCCAAACTGCCTTGCGACAAGGCTCACCGAGGTTGGTCTTGTACCCCCCTTGCTAGAAAGTCTCTAACCCTGGAATCTGGCAATGAGAGGAATCATGTATCATAAGAGGATCCTAGTTACCCCGACCCCTACAATGAGGACCATATTCCTATGATATGAGCTATAATCTAAACTCCTAGTAGCCCCCTTATTCCTATATAATCCTGTTTATAACCCCCCTTTAAGGAGTTTAGACTACAGCTCATATGGCTTCAGTAGGGACCTGACAGTAAACACAAATGAACCCTGAACCACAAACTGCTGCCTAGGGATCCGAGACCCTAAACCCTAAACCCTAAACCCTAAATTGTAGTTTCCATTTTCTTTTCCATTATCCCCAAAAAACCCTAAACCCTAAATCCCAAAAAAGTAGTTTCCATTTTCTTTTCCATTATCCCTTATATAACCCTAAACCCTCACAAACTGCTGCCTAGGGATGCTCCGAGGATCTCCACTTCACATCCAGTTCCCAAGTAAGCATGAGCAATGTCGGGGCCTACTCGAGTAGGTTTAGGGTTTAGGGTGCTTTTGGGGTATATTGTACTACTCGTGCTAGTGTATACAGCAGTTCCAAAGGGGTAGTATTGTCAACTATTCAGATTCCAGCGCGCACCACGCGCAACACCCTAAACACTAAACCCTAGGTGTAAGCTGAGTCCTGAGCTTGGCCGAGATCTGCCTTGGAACAAATTCTGCAGAGGGTTCAGAGCTTGGGCTTTAGGCTGTGCTCATATAGCAGATTTGAATACGCCTTCCAACTACAGTGGCCCATGTTTGGAAGGGCAGCAGTCTGTCAAGCGCCCTTTCGAGGGTTCCGTGTTATCTTGGAGGATGGTTATCACAGGACTCTACTGAGGCTCAGGACAGCATGATCTCCAAAAGATGTTTTGAACACACACCACCCGTTCACAGAATCCCCCAACATCTGAACCAGAAGAAATTGCATCTTTAATCATCTTTATCATCCCCAAGCCCCCAAAAATAAAATGGAAACTACTATAGTACATTGGGGTTTATATTGGGATAATGGAAAATAAATGGAAACTACTATAGTATATTGGGGTTTATATTGGGATAATAAAAATGGAAATTTCCAAGAATAAGAAATGCCTTTTAGAATTGGGCGGCTATAGTATATTGAATGTCGGGGTGTTGGTGGAGTCCGAAACTCTCACATCCCCCCACAGGTGGGAAAACCCCAGAATCTTTCTCGTGCTTCTGGGCGAGCGCAGGGAGGAATCTCGTTACTATAACGGGGGATTTGTATTAGGATAGGGATCCACCAGCCCACTCTCTCCCCCCAAAACCCTGAACCACGCAAAGTTGTAGTTTCTATAATCTTTCTACTCCGCAACCTGTCATGAAGCATGCTAGACCCTAAACCTTATGGTAGTGTCCCTGCTTCTTTCTCTTCCCCCACGGTCCCTCAAGCACCACGAACTTGCTGGTGCTTAATTAAGAGAGTGGCGGAGCGGACTCCTAGAAGCATCCCTAAATAGTCCCCACATATACCACTATAATGGTACTTATATTCACTCCCCCACTCTAAAGCCTAAACCCTCTATTCACTTTCCCACCCTGCCTTAGGCACCAAAAAGGGCTGGTCTAATACACAAGGCGCCTAAACCCAAGACCCTGAACCCTAAACCCTGAACCTTACACCCTGAACCCTGAACCCTGAACCCCAGACCCTAAACCCTAAACCCTGAACCTAAACCCTAAACCCTAAACCCTGAACCCTAAACCCTAAACCCTGGTTCGTACAAGGCTCTTTTGTGTGGAGACATCAGCCTCAAGGTTGATAAGCCGACGGGCCTGGGCACTTGAGGTCCAAAGCTTTTCTTCGGGCTGTAGGGTTTGAAGGCTCTAGAGTTTTAGGCTGTGTGGGTTTTAGGGTTTTGGGGTTTTGAGGCTTTAGGGCTTTAGGGTTTTAGGGTTCTAGGGTTCTCAAGATTTAGAGTTAGGGTTTTTGGGGCTTAGGGTTTAGGAGTCTTACGGTTTAGGATTGGGGTTCGAGCTGGGTATTTGAGGTCTAGGGCCATTAGGTGGGTCGTCTGATCCCGTTAGCTCGCATAAGCCTCCATACGCCCCATATTATGTACATGCCTAACCCCCACAACGCCCCTATGTACTTCCACTGTCCCTCATTCACGGTCCTTCCCAAGAATCCCTGAAAGGAAGGCTCCTTTGGACAGAAACAACGAAGTCCCATTAAAGGCAAGTTTCTGAAGATTTTGGGTGTACCGTAATATAAACCCAGGGGGTAGAGTCTCAACAGCACCAGGACTTCAAGGATGGATTTCAATGGCTTCTCTCAGAACTCTGACAAGACCTTGTCCGTAGCCAGCACCACCATACCCAGAACGCTAAGAAGTCATGTGATAGTCACAGGACCAATAGTTAGGGGGTCGCAGTAATGACCGGGAACCTCAAAGGCCCGAGACGGACAAAGTTGTCACGACTCTTTAAGAAGTCATATGAACTACAATCGATATCCCCATAATTAATGGACATGGGGGCTTATTAGGGAAACTATTAGGCTACACTAAAGTACCCAAGTGACCCTTATGCCCACCCTCAACGGTCCCTGGGCAAGCCTACCATTGACAGTAGTTGGTAAAAGTATCTAAACAATTGAAGCATGGGCTTGGGGGTGCCATAACATGATTTTCCTTAGTCGCATAAAGCGTCTGAGGGAATAAGTTTCAGATGTCTAAGGGAATAACGAAAACTAATGATTCGGGCTTCTACAGTACATGGCTAACCTACAGCAGTGCTACCGTCGCCTTTTCTCTGCGATTAAGTTTAAGCTCATGGGCCTGCAATCCTCACATCCTAACGTGCCCACCTCTTGCTATGTGTATTGTATCTGCAAAAACCACGCACGGGTGTAACCGTAGGCACTTCTACCTCCAACATCTCTAACCCTAGCCTTAAATCACCACCCTTTGAATAACCTTGCCATTCACCTTTGTAATGAATTGCAAACATGATACCCTTTCACATCCAGGCAACAGAAATCTTCAGTGCTAGGGATTCGGAAGTGGAGAATTCAGGGCTTAGGTTTAGGGTGAGATTTAGTCTCGGGCTTAGGGTTTAGGACCAAGGATAAACTCCCAAAGCCTATGCAAAGCCCCTGACCGCGCCGGCCAGCGCAGCTCGGAACTTTGTATTCTGGTCCTTCGGCACCCGTGGGAATTCAAGACATCAGGGCCCTTAGGACCCAGATGGACTGAGGGAATGTATGGGGATGACAAAATTGTAGGAGGTCCTGCTAGGGACCATGTCAGGAACATTTGAAAGACTCCCTGGGCTGTAAGGGGTCAAGCGTTTTCCTGCACTAGTACGTGCAAGCTCTCTGAAAACGGTCCCCATAAGCCCCATACTCCATTCCACAATTGACAATTCCCTACCAACGCGCCAGCAAGCGAGGCTTGGGGGTGTACAGTGCAACAGCACTGCTGTCAGGGCTCTTGGGGTCTGACACAACTTGTGTGTCTGAGCTGCTCATAGGGTGTTCTGGGATGCTGGGTAACAGTGAGAAACATCAACAACCGCAACAGAAACAGCGCATCTGGTTTTTTGGGGGCAGTAAGCAGAACAAGATTTAGCCGCACCGCACTCCAACCCTTAGCCTAGAAATCCTCAGACCGCCAACCCTCACCCCTGTTTTCTATACCCCAATCCGGATGATCCCTAAACCCCCACAAAGTGATCCCATGAAGATCCTAGACTCGATCTCCTGAGCAGCAGGCTACAAACTCTTGACCCTAAAATCTAATCCCAAGTCCTAACCCCTAAACCCCAAAAACCCTAGGCCCTGACAACCCTGAATATACCCCAAAACCTAATATAACCCTAATATAACCCTAGTATAACCCCAATATAACCCCAATATAACCCTAATATAACCCTAATATAACCCTAATATAACCTCAATATAACCCCAATATAGTAGTTTCCCTAAACAGGCGGACCCCAATATAGACCCCTAAATACTACAATCCTTATTATAGGGACCCCTAAAATGGTACCCCTAATTTTGGGAAACCCCCATATGAACCCTAAACCCTAAACCCCTAAACCCTAAACCCCTAAACCCTAAACACCTATACCCCTAAACCCCTAAACCCTAAACCCTAAACCCCTAAACCCTAAACCCTAACCCCCTTACAAACCCTAAAATAACCCAGAGCCTTCATCCAAGCGCGCGAAGCGCAACCCCACGAGCCTCACCCTACATAACCCTAATAAAACCCTGATATAACCCCAATATAACCCTAAACCCTAATATCCTAAAATAACCCCAATATAACCCCNNNNACCCCAATACAATCCCAATATAACCTCCAACCAAGCCCGCGGACCTCCAGGGCGGCGACGCGACTGTCCGAAGCGCTACCAGACCCTCGTGCCTATCATGCTTTAGGGTTTAGGGGTTTAG